ACCTCATAAAAAAACCTAATAAATTATTCCTAGCTGACACTATGTTGATAAACGGATTTGATCAACCTTTTAAATATTAATCTTCGAGAATAATGTGGAAATGAGGTGATTTTATTAGTTAAACATGAGGTATTTTACAACAGATTCAAGTCGGTATTTCGGGCTTGAAGTCGGGTTTTTAGTAGTACCATAAATAGGTTATGGGCGATGAACCGAGGTAATAAATGCATAATTTAATGTGCCGAAAAAAGGATCCTCGTATCATGTTTAATGCTGCTATTTATAGCAACTGTGGGCTCTTCTTTTGAGGAGAATCGACAGCATTAAATGCTGAATGACACTTGGACGCAGCTTTTCTCGTTGGTGGGTCCCCTAGTAATGATGCCCTCACGTGGGTCGAGACGATTGATTCGATGGGCATTTAATGCGGTCTCTGACGACATGAGGTCGACTCTCCATAAGTCGGGCTTTCCCCGTGGTCCACCCCTTAAGAGGTCGGCTCCTTCAGCTCGGTAAACTTTCCCCTTTTTCTTGTTTCGGCGTGACTCTCGGCCCTCTCCACGATCCACGTATTGTTCATCCGACGTGCGAGAAGATCCTTATGTCAACATTAAGGCCCCTGACATTGAGGGGGACATACGTGATGGTCCGCCTTAATGTCACTTTATGTTCCTCGTCGATACTTCCCATTATGACGCTTCAACCGACTTCTCGCACTTAGTAAAAAATATGTCCATTGTTTATTAGAGACTCGTAGTTTTCTTGATACGGCGTGTGGCACCACGAAGCGACGCGCCCGTTTTCTTCGATTTTAAGCGGTTACGTCCCTTCATTACACGTTCCCACGACCTCTGACGAGATTCTTACGTGGCAAGCCCTTATTCGTCCGTGTGTAATTGCAGGGGCAACACGGAACGTCTTTATCTTAAATGGTGGTGGTTCGCGAGCGTCAGTTTCTCCATAACGGTCATATTGCTCAGATATAAATACTCCATCTTCTCCAATCCTCTGGGTCACATAGCTTCTTCACCCTAAACCCCGCTTTATTTTCTTTACTTTCTTCGCCCTTTGCTCTTTCGGTTTTTTAACTCCCGACGTCCGTGGCCCAGTCGTCCTTGTGTGTTGAGTTTTCCTGTCTATCCTTGCTTTTCGCTCCTTGTATCTTCTCTTTTTATCTTTTTCGAAATTCCGTCCGCCGCCCAAACAATATCGGAACAAACGGTTGAGAGTAGTAGTAGGACAATTCCCGACGAAGTGGCTCGCGAATCTGCCTCAGACGAAGAGGTAGACGTGGAGTTGGCATTAGGATACTACCGTTGGGACCCGCTATTGGCCGAACGTTTAGTCCTTAAGAGGAACAACCATGAAGGCGACGCCGAGGTTGAAAAAGATCTCCCCGTCCGTGAGGGTTATTGGAATCGTCCTCCTCGCCGTTGGGCCGATACCGATGCGATATTTCCTGGTGAGCCTAGCACGATGACCGACTTCAAGGTGGTGTTGTTGAGGAAGTCAGCTCGGATCCCTCCTAAGGTGAGGATGTTTGCCCCATACCCTGGGGAGAGGATCCATTCTCCTCCTCCTGGCTGCATTGGGGTATTCGCCGAGAGCATCAAGTCGGGATTGAGGTTTCCCCTTCCCAACATGATTACCGACTACCTTCGAGATTGGGGAATCGGTATTAGCCAGATCACGCCGAACAGTTGAAAGAAAATCTTCGGCCTTTTGGTTCTCTGCGCGTAGAAAAAGTTGTTGTTCCCCTCTATTGATGAGTTTCGGAGCATCTTCTTTTTTAAGCGGAGTCGAGAACGAGACGGTGTCCTGCCCATTGGTTGTTTTTTCTATTCCGCTAAAGCACAAGGTGAACTGAAGGTCGGTCAGCTGATCACCAAAATCCCCGACACGTTACACGGCTTCCAAGAGGAGTGGCTCTGGGTCGGCGGCGATTGGGATTCTGCCGACTTCCTTTTGGAGTCAAAAATCGAAGGGATGACCGTCCCAAACCGAGTTGTTTCCGCTTATGGTAAGTTTCTCGTTTGTAACTCACTTCATCAACTCCTGACTGTTGGTCTTTTCTTTCGCTAACAGGTCGGAACTTTTGGTCTTTGTAGTCCGGAGGAAGAAAGAATCCAAACTCACTGCCGAATTCGAGGAGACGCTCAAGGATCTTGCGAAAGTCGACCCCTCCGATCGTAGTTGGCAGAAGCTACTGAAAGAGACGGAGCTAGCTAAGGCGGAACTCACAGCAGCACGCCCCTTTAAAACATTCCCTCCTGGTAAGCTCGGTTTTTCGCTGCTGGTTTTGTCGTTCGTCTTGACATGACTTATCTTTCGCGCATTTTTTATGGTTTGCCTTGGCGTGGATTTTCAGTTTACTATCCCATTCTCGGTTTCTTTGGTTTCAAAAAAATCGAGGACGCCCAGGCACTTCGACGCAAAGTTCCCAATACCGATATTCAACTCAAGTTCGAAAGAGAGATTGAGATGGGTCGCTTGAAGTTTTTGAAAAGTGTGAAGAGTGCCGCCACTAGCCGAGGTGCGGCGGCTGCGGGTTCTGATGCCAGGTTGATGCCCCCGACAGAGGAGCCGAAGTCAGTCCAGGCCTCGGGGCCCGACCCGATTGTCGACCAGGTTCAAGGAATCGAGTTGATTGTGAAGTCCCCTGTCCACTCCGGTCCCGGGAAGAAAGAGGTAGCCGAGGTCCCTCAGGACGTCTATGTCCTCGTGTCTAGTGCTGAGGAGGCCGAGGAGGAGATGAAAGCTGCCGAGGAGGCCTCTGCCCGCAAGAAGCGCAAGTCCAAGAAAAAACCCGAGGGTGAGTCATATGTGGCTGGGGAACGTCGGTCCAAGATGAGGCACGACGCCGTTCTGACTTTGGGGAAAAGGAATGTTCCAGTGCACCAAGAAAAGAGCTCTACATACCTGCCCCTTGACGAGGAAAAAGTTCTCAACCTCAACCTTCTTTCTGGAGTTTTCGAATGGTTTACTGACTTCCACTCCGTGGCTTATTTCGAGATCCCGAACAAATACCA